CTCCCACTCTCCCTCTCTCTCCTCTCCCTCTCTCTCCTTCTCTCTCCTTCTCTCCCTCTCTCTCCTTCTCTCCCTCTCTGTCCTTCTGTCCATCTCTCCCTCTCTCTCCCTCTCTCTCTCCCTCTCTCTCTCTCCGCTGCCACTACAAGATGTGCCCCTCTCCTCTGTCCGCCACGGTGTCGTCCTCCTCTGCAGGTGGAAGGTGGTATGGAGAGCATGCCTGCTGGAATCACTACCGGACCTCTTTTTATTTTTCTGTGCCTCGTTCTTTACTTTACCCCTTACGCGAGTGCGGCGCGTGCCGCGCAGCCTGCGCCTGCCGTCCGCATGAATTAGCCTCCCCGATGCCCAGCTCCCCCTCCGCTTCCCCTCCCCCTCCCCTACCCCTTCCCCTTCCCTCCCCTCCCCCTCCCTCTCCCCAGTCCGCCTCGCTCTTCTCCGGCCGCGGACTCGTCATGCCGATACCGCCGGCCCGTGATTGATTTGGAATGAGAAAAGAGACGGGAGTGGAATAAGGAGCAGCAAGGAAGTAAAATGAAGTATAAAAGGTATCGAAAACGGGGCGGGAGGTGGAAGGTGGTTGACAACCAACGTCCATAATTCATGCAGGGTGCGGTTATTTGCGAGAGAAGGTCTCTGTCTGCCGAGTGCTGAGGGAGCCGTGAGGAACTGACGACTGGCGGTGCGAGTTTACTTTGGTCATGCGGGGAGGAAGGGGGGAGAGAGCGGCACCTGTCGCGTGCAAAGTTAGGATGTGACCGGATGAGACCGAAGGTCTCCAGGGAGGCGAAGGTGACGTTCATGGTAACATGTTCGGGGTGGGTGATCTGCGCCGTACTGGTTATACTGTTCCGGATTCGGGTGTGCGGACGGGTTCCATACTGTGTGACTATTGGCAAGCCGCGCCAGCTCGCCTGAACCCGGTACGGTGTGGTATACAGGACAGGAAAGCAGATCGTCCACTCTGCATATCTTCCAGAGGGCCATCTCCAACTCCATTGCGATATTGTTTCTGCAACTGATCGTCAACCGTCCGCGCGTTTGTATACTACAGTCATTGTTCCTAAATTCGGACTTGCGCCCTAAATTCGGACACTTTGCCGTATTTCACTATTGTCGCCTCCAAATCCATTATGCGTTGACAAAATTTAACTTCTATGGGTTTGATGGGAAGGTAAGACCACCAAGTTTACATTTCTGCCAAAAAAATTAATGTGTGAGTAATATTGCTTCCTCCAGAAATTCCTGAAATTTGTATTTTTAGCCCCCAAAAACAGGCGTTTTTAAATGTGTCTTGCAAGAATTTGGGGCTCCAAACAGTGTGAGCCCGGGTTATTCTGACCACAACATATGTGAAACTTGGTACTTTTATCTACAATATGACACCAAGTTTTTGATTTTTCGTCGCACGGTTTAGTTTTGGGAACCGTTTTTGCAATGCGCCCTAAATTCGGACATAGGCTTTTACATGCAAAAGGGACAACTGTCCGAATTTAGGGCACATTAAAAACGATCTTTAAGCAGTTCTGGCGACTAGACTATACCAGATACGAAAATTTGGACGGTAGGGTAAGGTCAAATTTTTTCATGAAGTTTCTATACCCCCCAAAAAATTTTCACTTTTCATAATTTTTCAAAGCTGTCCGAATTTAGGACGCATTGGTTCCTAAATACGGACACGATTCAAACAGCCCTCACCCCTATACCGTTAGCGCGAAAAAATATTTTCGGAGAGTGGTAGGTGCGTCTCGACGTGAGGATTCTAGAATCCCCAGCGATTTTTCATATTTCAAAAATTCTAGATATCACAGGCGTTTTTCCTCAAAAACCGTCCGAATTTAGGGACAATGACTGTACTGCATTGGGTTATTTTGTTGAACTCCGCTTTTGTCAAGAAGAGTTCTCTGGCCTGGTGATCATTGCCAGGGGGAGATGGCTTCGGAGCAGACGGTGGATGGCGGGCGCGCGGCCAGCACCGGTCAAAAATGTAAGAGACAGAGAGAGAGAGAGAGCAGGGAGCCAAAGACGACGGAGAGAGAGAGAGAAACAGAGAAAGGGTGGGGGAAGGGGGTAGGGCAGGGGCAGAGTAGAGAGGAAAAGAAAGAGAGAAAAAGATAGAGTGTTCCACTCTGCTCCGCTCGCCGTCGTGCCCGGGCTCGGCCGCTCCGCGCAAATGCTGCTGCAGCAGTAGCAGTCGCGGCGGTAGTGGCGGCGGCGGTATCGATTTGTACCCGGGACAACCACCTTCACCCCTCGCCTCCCTGCCCCGCTCCGCGCTCGGCGGCCGGCGCGCTCACCCTCCCGTCCCTTCCCCTCCTTACCTCTCTGTCCCCCTCCCTCCCCTCCCCTTTTCCTTTCCGACTTGCCTGCTTCTCTCGCTCTCTCTCCCTCTCCCTCTCCCTCTTGCTCAATACTTTTTCTTTATCAATGAAAGAACTTCTCTTTCCTTTTGAGGGTCTTTTCTTGCATTTCTTATTCTGACAGGACGCTATGCCGGTGTGCTGGGGAGGGGGTGAGCCGCTGCCTGAGCGTTGTCGAAGCGGACCCAACCTGGCCGGGTGGTAATGAGATGGGTGGGGGGCAATATCTCGGGGATCAGAAGGGCGTGGTCGCGGGGGGCGTGGCGCGTCGTGGACGTGGATCGGAAGGGTGGCCGTGGCGGTGAAGGTCAGGGAACTCCCGCACGTAACGGCGGCCGCGGCGGGGCCGGGCCGGCGGCCCACCCGGGCCCACCAGCAGG